ATTAATACTGCTACAACCCCACTTTTAATATCTGTTGGACCCTCTAAAGATTTATCAACCCCGATCCCATCAGCAAAGTCGATAATACTTTCAGTATCATTAACAAACTTAAAGACAACTACAAATACAAAAATAAATTCATTACGACTAACAACGGCGAGAGCTTTGAATAAACTAACATTTCTATGATCAATCTTCATAGCAGTAGTAGTCGCAGCAGTAATACGAATGTACAGAAGTGTCAGTAATTTTGGAGAGTACCTATTATGTTTACTGACTAAATTTATCACCATCACTAACACGATCATCATCAGCAGTACCAAAAAATCCAACTACTTTTAGGAGTACCAACCAGTCTACCACTAATATTTTCTCTAAGTGCTCGATATTGTTTCTTTTTTATTGTATTATCACCAAGCGTGCGTATAAATCAAATGTGTGTGTGTTTTCGGTGTGTGGGAGATATACATATACACACGCAACCATACACAGTTATATACATGAATATATATTTGTAAATATATATGTATATCGATATATATACGCACGAAGCAGACAGATATATGTTGAGTTGTATAGATACACTTGACTATATGTATAAACACACGTACACGATGATGGATACTTATTTTTTTAAATGTTATCATAACCCTGTCTACATTGGAAAAACTTTACTGCTACTGGAACAATAATATTTTAAAATATTAGGAAAATATTAAAAGAAAGAAAGGATTTTAAAAAGTCGGTTTGCGACGAGCTGCATTTCATCTAAACCAAAACATTCGGAAAGCGTAAGTATTATGATCAATTCCTATTCTAAAAATACAAAGAGTAAAGTGTGTTCGTGATTCTGTCCATAAAATGTGGATTGATATTTAGATTCTTCAACTCAGAGATATGTTTGAATACATAGATATTATTTTATATCGTTGTTGTAATGTTATCTACCTTTTATACGCACACACACACATGTAATTAAAAATATCAAACTTTTGGCAATATTAAAAAAAAAGGCCAAATTAATGACAAAAGCGGTCAATAAAATTTTACAAAAACGAAAGTAAAGAGCAAATAAGACAATACATATATATATATGTGTGTGTGTGTGTGTACACATATATATATATATATATATATATATATATATATATATATATATGTGTATATACATATGTGTGTGTATGTACATACACATATATATATATATATATATATATATATATATATGTGTGTGTGTGTGTATATATTCTGTAACTCCTTGCTTCCCAGTGGCTTCTCGCCTTGCTTGGGATGAAACGCTTAAAAAATATATGATTATATATGTGTATATATATGCATATATATATATATATATATATATATATATATGTGTGTGTGTGTGTGTGTACATATATGTAGAGGAAAGAGTTGTATATGTATATATATATATATATATATATATATATATATATATATATGTATGTATATGTATATCCATATATAATATAAAATAAATTATATATATATATATATATATAAAGGGTGTTTTATTAATAGGGATCAAAATCAGGAGTAAATAAATCAGTGCTATTGGTGAAAATTTATTTATTTTCTATTGGGTCATGTTATGGAAGTGATGGCAATTATGTGTGGAAAATAATATCTCCCAAATCTAAAAGAAAAAAAATATATATATATATATATATATATATATATATATATATATATATATATATATATATATATATATATATACAAACAATGTGTATAAGTGTGGAGAACCTGAAAACGTACTTTGGCTAGACGAAAAAGATTTTTCCCGAATTCTGAATTTTGATCAAATTCTAGTATATGCGTTTGGACAGAAACTATTGAGTATCACATCGTGTATATTAATATATGTGTATATACATATCATCTACCTGTAAATGTATATAATTTGTGTGTATGTGTGTTTGGTGTTGTTGTTAGCAGGAAATACAATAGACTGCGTTCGATTCTCTGTCGACACTGACGATGCTTACTGAGCAAAGAATCTCTGATGACCTTAGCAGAGGCTTGAATCTACATTTCCCTTATGAGTGCCCTATCGAGAGATATATCTTTGCGCTTTGTCATGTCAAGATGACTGAAGGAAAACGGATAGAATGTGTCGGTTATTTGGAAAAAAGTATCACTCATCCGCGATTATTTTACCATTCATGAAGTAACTGCAAAAAATTGTTATTCTTCGACAAGAAACTTTCAAATGAATCGTTCTCTATATTCTCTCTCACTCTGCACCTCCCTCTATCGCGCGGTCACACACAAACTCCACTCTCGCTTTCTACTCTCTCCCTCGCACACTCCCGCACACACAATTCCCGTCATGCACGCACAATCATTCTACTGTCTCTCACACACTCACAAACACACGACGGTGTGTATGCACGTTGATTTTAAACATATATTCAAACGTATATATATATATATATATATATATTAACAGCAACAAGGATATGTATGACATTTTCAAACCAAATGTTTATATATACGAAAACGCTGATATTAACCTTCATTATAGTGATATAATTTTATGTTTTAAAAAGATATATCTTCTGAACATATATATATATATATATATATATATATATATATATATATTAGAGAGAGAGGGAGAAAGAGAAAGACTTGTGTGTGTGTTTGTATCACATACGCACATGTGCAAACATGGTTCTCTTGTACATGTTCATTTTTATCTATCTTTCTCAACTTCTCTTTCTGTCTCTCAATTCTTTCTCACTCTCTATCTCTCTCCATACACATACACGCACACACACATGCACACACTTATATATACACACAAGAGACACATATGCATACATTTTATATATATATATATATATATATATATGTTTGTGTGTGTGTGTCTGTTTGTGTACTATTATAAAGACTTTAATTAGTGTGTAACATGTTGACTGGACTTCTCAATTTTTTTATATTTATCTGCTGGCCTAGAAATCCAGAATCTTATAAATTATACTTCCTAATATGCAGAAAAATAATGACATAATCAAGATGTTGACGATCTACACTATTTATGAAAAAAGCAGGTTAGAAAGAAACCCTCCATCTATAATGGAAAGTCAAATGAACTTGAGAGACGTACTATCCTGAAAAAAATTTCTTAATGCAAAGATCTTATAAATTTTAGCCAATAGTGGCACTGGCTGCTCGGTCAGTGAATGCCGAATGTTTCTTATTTGAAAACGGCTAATGTTATTATTTCCATTCACTTTTTTTAATGGGGAATCACTTTCAAGCCAAGTGTGCATTACATTCAAGCTACATTTTACCTGGTGCGCACTTGTCTGGAAAACGGTTCCACGGTTTAAATAAAGAACACACGTTCTATTCGCGTCGAACGGAAATTTCGGTTACAAGCCTTACAAATTCTTATTCGGTAGATTTTTATTTCAAAGTATACATAAAATAATAAATAAATAAATAAAAAGTAACATGAGTAACCTTTAAATATAAGGTTTGTCTTTAAAAGAAATAATGTGTTTTAAAAAATGCATTAAATTAATATATATATATATATATATATATATATATATATATATATATATATATATATATATATAAACCTAGTGAGCCAGACAAACCTACCTAGGTTTCACCTAAACGGATCGGCAGATTTTTACCCTAAAGATTGATTTGATTATTGGCAAATCAAAAAATTGAGGGTTTTTCGAAACGAGTATAGTTATCTTTTATTTATATATATATATATATATATATATATATATATATATATATATATATATATATATATATATATATATTTGTGTGTGATTGTACTAATTCAAAAGAGTATTCAATAATGTGTTCTTAATTTCTTAATCTATGTTTTGTTCAACAATCATTTCATATTGATGTTTTCGTGTCGTTTGCTTTTCTTTTTTCGCTCTCTTTTGCTTAATAACCACTAATTAATATATTTAGTTTAGATAAGCGGCAAAAAAGTTGCTGACTAATACATTAAAACAAAATATTAAAACTCATATCTTGAATAACTTTTTTTGTTTCAAAACACATTTCTCGTTTGTTTTAATTTTTAAAATTAATTTTTAAATTAAAACAAACAAGAAGTAAAAGAATTGATAACAAATGAAAAACAAGCTCGATTTTATTGTTTCAATATTTTCTTGTCGCTGATAAGAGTTGTATATTATCATTGCGTTAAAACCACTCCTCCGTTGATATACTTAGCCCAGTTCACACAGATAGAGAGAGAGACATAATTAATTTCTAAAGTTACGAAATATGTAATATGAATTAATATGCATAACACGTGTTGTAGATTTGCCTGCCGTTTATAGTTGGCGTAACAACTGCTTTCTTTAACACGGAAGAAATAAAAAAAAAACTTCATTGCAATATCTGCTTGTCTTTCCAGGCGTTGTTTTAACATCATTATCGTATCCATCTTCAATATTATCCTCAGTATGAACTGAAACTAAGCTCATCTCTGTTGTCATAATTTCGCTATTTTTTTCGTCTTTCTAGGTATGATTATCATTGTCAAATGAGTTAGCCCTGCCTGTTGCGTTACTATAGCAACTATTATTACCCGTGACTTGAAAGAAATCATCTCTAATTGCAGTTAAAAGTTATATCAGATGAAAAGTCATTTTGCACTCGCTCGTACATGCGTATTGTAATGAATGAAAAATGGATTGAAGTGAAATACATGAGTGCGGGAAGAAAGATAACTGCTGCGAAATAAAGAGTAGAGGCGAGGGCGAGTAAGAGTAAGAAGAAGGAGTGGGAGAAAATAAGAGACATAACAAAAGAGAAGGAACAACCAAAGATAAAAAGGTGGGGGAAATGGAGAGAGAGGTGGCGAGAGATAGAGTAAATAAGAAAAATGAATTGAAGGTGAGAGAAAATCAATTAAAATAAAAATCTAATGATTGTGCGCAGGAATAAAAGAAAAACGAAAGCGATCGTTGAAAGATAGAAAGGAAAGGAAATGACTAAAGAAGGTAAAGAAAGAAAGAAGCGAATATAAATAATGAAAGTAAAGAAAGAAAGAAAGAAGCGTATATAAATAATGAAAGTAAAGAAAGAAAGAAAGAAGCGAATATAAATAATGAAAGTAAAGAAAGGAAGAAAGAAAGAAGCGAATATAAATAATGAAAGTAAAGAAAGAAAGAAAGAAAGAAAGAAGCGAATATAAATAATGAAAGTAAAGAAAGAAAGAAAGAAAGAAAGAAGCGAATATAAATAATGAAAGTAAAGAAAGAAAGAAAGAAGCGAATATAAATATTGAAGGTAAAGAAAGAAAGAAACGAATATAAATAATGAAGGTAAAGAAAGAAAGAAAGAAAGAAAGAAGCGAATATAAATAATGAAGGTAAAGAAAGAAAGAAAGAAGCGAATATAAATAATGAAAGTAAAGTAAGAAAGAAAGAAAGAAAGAAGCGAATATAAATAATGAAAGTAAAGAAAGAAAGAAAGAAAGAAAGAAGCGAATATAAATAATGAAAGTAAAGAAAGAAAGAAAGAAAGAAGCGAATATAAATAATGAAAGTAAAGAAAGAAAGAAAGAAAGAAGCGAATATAAATAATGAAAGTAAAGAAAGAAAGAAAGAAGCGAATATAAATAATGAAAGTAAAGAAAGAAAGAAAGAAAGAAGCGAATATAAATAATGAAAGTAAAGAAAGAAAGAAAGAAGCGAATATAAATAATGAAAGTAAAGAAAGAAAGAAGCAAATATGAATAATGAAGGTAAAGAAAGAAAGAAAGAAAGAAATATATATAATGAAGGTAAAGAAAAAGAAAGAAAAAAGAGAATATACATAATGAAGGTAAAGAAAGAAAGAAAGAATAAAAATAAAGAAAGAAAGTCTGAAATAAATAATAAAGTTATAAAGTGAAACTAAATAATGAACGAAAAAAAAAGCCAAAATAAATAAAGAAAGAATATAAAAAAGCGAAAGTAAACGTAAATAGAAAGAAAAAAATGCAAAACAAAACGAATATAAATAATGAAAGAAGAAAAACGAGAATAAGATTTATATCAAAGAAAAAAAGAAAGGAAAATAAATGATGAAGTTACAAAGAAAGTGAAAAAGAAAGACATGAAAATAATAGACGACGAAAGGAAGCAAGGCAGGAAGTAAATGAAAATGACATATGGTAATAAAGTAAGAAAAAAAAAAAACGACTAAATAAACTAACGTAAACAATGTATAGAAAAGAAAAGAAAAACTACACGTAAATAGATGAAGCGCACGCAAAAGAAGAAAGCATGAATGAATGAATAGCTAAGTGTGAAAGAAAAAAAAAAGAAAATCATACATAGAGAGAATAAGACGAATAAAGAACAGGAGGAAAATTGATAGATAAAATTAAATGACTTTTAAGAAATCCCAAAATGGAAGGAATCTAGGAGAAATGAAAATTGAAAGACGTTAAAGAATATAAAAAGTTAAATCAGAAGAAAGTAAGATTAAGTGAATGTAAAAAGATATTGGAAAAGGAAAAGGTTTGGAGAATGAGAAACGATAATAAACAATCAAAAAAGAGACAAACTAAAAAAATATCTTAAGTATAAAGGAAAGAATTAAAAGGAAGAAAAAGTATATCTTGATGAATAAATGATTTCATAAGAATAAAGAAGTGTCAGAAGAGAGAGACTAATAAAATATTCCTGCTAGAAAAAGTGATATTTAGAGTTTTTTTAAAAAAAGAGAATATGACAAGGCGTTTAGAAAGTCAGAATCAGAAACGCGACAGTCAACTTGATTGGCACGAATACAGATTCGATACACTCACACCAGCTGAAACATAGAAATACGCAAACGAATGAAACTTGGAACGAAATATTTTTGCTCTACTGTTGGTATTGGAGATTTTGTTTTTAGAAAATTCAAAGAAAATGTTCAAGTCAAGAATAAGAGGTGTATAAATAAAAGCTAGCAGAAAGTGATCGGTAACGATAGAAAGTATAAGAAAATCCTGAATTTAACAGTGTGTCCATTCAATCGAGAGACATATATTTATGCCTGCTTATGAAAACAGTAAAACGGGCTTGAAAATAGCATCATATTTGTTTGCTTTCTTTATTGCTTACCAATAGAATCTAATATAAAATCTATTTTTCAAGAATACTTTTCTGACTTTGAAAATAGATATTATTATTGTGTATATATACGTCAAAACACAAGCACTAATAAATTGGCAGATATTTACACATTCAGACACTGAAGGATTACATTATTTGACGCAGAATTGCCGTAGTAAAAACACATTAATAACCCCTGTGTAATCAGTACTAAATCGTACGAAAAACAAAGGCTGAACGAGTTATTTCATTATTAAACTCAAAACAGAAGAATGAAATCGTACTAAATACCAAATTGCGTACAAATACTTTCGTCAGTCTTTGTGTATATAAGAAAGAAGTAATGTGATATGGAAGTAGAAACTAACAAAAGATAAAATAGAAAATGATATAGAGAGACTGATAATTCTATATAGAGAAACGTAGTAAGTACAAACTTAGATATGCATATATTGAAACTAAAATTATATGGAGGGACTGGTTCAGATATATAAAGACCTGCTGAAACGAACATAGCAAAGCCGCATCATATATATATATATATATATATATATATATATATATATAGAGAGAGAGAGAGAGAGAGAGAAAGATATTGAACAAACTGAGATGGACACTGAACAAACTGGGGTAGATTGAGAACAAAGTGAGAGAAATATTGAACAACACGAGATAGATAAATGGATATTGAACAAACTTAGATAGATAGATAGATAGATAACAGATTGAGATAGATAGATACTGAGAAAACTGAGATAGATGGATAAGGAGCAAAATGATAAATATCGAACAACTAAGATAGATACATACTGAACAAAATGAGATAAAGTGAGATAGATTGATAAATATATAGATAAGTAGATAGATACTGAACAAAGTGAAATAGATCGAACACACTGTGATAAATAGATAGATTGAAAACATGATAAGGAAATAGTGAAACTGAAACGAGGTACGGATTGAGAAGAAAATTAATATGGAGGGGAACTGACATAGTTATAAAAAAAGACAGGCGGAAGTTGACATAGAAAATAATATAAGTAGAAAGAGATATAAATAGAGAAAAGATGAGATAAAGTGAAACAGGTATGAATGGATAGAAAATTATATAAGGAGAAATTGAACGTACCTTAAGAAGTATAAACTTAGATGAGTATATATTTACATTGTCATAAATAGAGAGGAACTGGTATAAAGATGAAAATACGTACGAAGAAAAAAAAGATATACAGGGTGTCCATAAAGTTCGTGTGCATTTTAAAAAATTATAATTTTATTTGTGTTTGCAATAGAAAAAATTTGTAAATAGGATGAGAAAAAAGATTTCAAATCTTCTAATGAACGAGGTTTGGTTGCATACACAATTGTTTTCACATGTCCCCATAAAAAAAAAATTAATGGAGACAAATCTGGCGAACGTGAAGGCCAATAAAATGGTCCACTCCTTCCGAACCATCTGGTAGGAAATTCCTGATTTAGAAACTCTCTAGCACGCAGAGCAAAGTGACAAGTAGCTCCATCTTGTTAAAACACTGTAACATTTTTTACAGATTATTTCTATCATAAATACAAATGAAGTTATTTTTTTTTTGAAAATGCACACGAATTTTATGGACATATATATATATATATATATATATATATATATATATATATATATATATATATATATATATATATATTGGAAAAATACTGCAAGAAGACACTGACCCAGAGACAGACAAGGTGAGAAAAGTTTAATATTAATTTTAACCAACTAAAGGGATCGAAAGCCATTTAAGGTACCATGTTACTTTAATTGACACAGTTTGTATCTTTTTCTAATTATCTAACAGATTCCAACTAAATATGTCCGAATAAGACAAATTTGAAATGGGTAAATAATATCAGGGTTAAATGAAATTGACGTGAAAGCAGAGTTTGAAAAGGACAATATATTTAGTGATTTTCCAAGTGTAGCTTAGACGTGGCACACGGACGAAAGTATGGGGCACTGAGCGAGGATCGAACTTACTATTCCGTCATAATTGTTCTAGCGAGACAAACTTGCTAACCATTACACCGCCCCAAGGTGCCCCAAACGGACAATATATATATGAAGAAATATAGTCTTAAGGTGGCCTGACGATTTCCTCTAGCATGAATTAGTCTGTAGCCTCTAAGTGTTGACTTCTATGTTCACTTTTTTTATATATATATATATATATATATATATATATATATATATATATATATATATATATATATATATATATATATATATATATATATATATATATATAAACAGAAGCTAAGATTGATAGAATTTGATAGAAGAACGTTCAAATTTGACTTTAATAGGGATGTTGATACAGACTGAACCATACAGAAAGACAATGCGAGTAAAATGCTTCAATATATATATATATATATATATACACTTTTCGAAAAGGTGTTTTACTTAATCAGAAAAAAATGGAGTTTATTTATCCACGAATATCTACACTTAGCGAGAAATATGTGCATACATCGTGCGAATAGAGAACATCTTTCAAATAAAATGGCCCGAATAAAAAAAAAGAAATCTTTTTGCTTGTATGTAGAAAGGGTGCTGAAATATTAAAAATAAATACATATTTATATTACATAAATACACTGTCGCCATATAATATTGCATCAAATTTCAGACGGATCAGTAGTTGTCAAATAATAACACTGAAACATTACAAGAAAGCAAATTCGCTATTATTTTAGTACCTTAACAATTATATAATTTGGTATAATGATTATATCACTTGGATCAACGAAGTTAAGCAACAACGATCCGGGTTAATAACTAGATAGTTCACTACTTGGGAATGCCAATAGCTATAAGCGTGTATGCTAGTAGCGTAAAGGATAACGGCTCAGAATCGGAATTCGGTGAACAGAGTTCTATTTCCAGTCGGGTTCTTTAAACTCACTTACCCCTGAATACGCTTGGGAAAGTTATGAATCCACCTTTTCTCCTCCCAGATATGAGGTAATTTGTAGCAGTAAATTATTATTATCTCTAAAAAAAAAAATTATAGCAATAAAAAAAAATCTGTCTTTAAATACCCTCCAAAAGCCTTAGAAAACGAATCAAACAGTCGATCACAAGCACTACATAGAACGTCGGCCTGAGGTTAGAGATTTATAGTAACACACAATTATGATACCATTCGATCTTTACTGAAAGACCCAAATATCTGTGACCTTTTTCTAGACTAAACTAAATATGTTTAAAATCTAAATAGGTTTAAAATGCATGAAAAATTGGCTGAATTCAAGTAAACAACCGTATCTTTCTATATTGCTGTTATGAGGTATTATGTACATTATTTACATTATTCGGACTTTTGTCCTCATCTTTGTCGCCATATTTATCACAACATTTCGGTCGTTGTACGCTCCAGCCTTCTTTAGGTGATTGGAATGTCAAACTGAACCCTTTATTTCGCTCACTGGGGTAGACCGTTCTAGTTCCACGCGCCATGTTTAATAGATGCCTATTATCAGTTATCTCCTGTTATCCAAGTTCTGCCTTAACCGGGTATTGAACTCACATACTTTGGGTCCTGTCACCGGATCTAACCAGCGCCTTTATCAACTGTGCAATATGTTCTTGACAAAATAAAGGTTTCAGTTTGACATTCCAACCACTTGAGGAAGGCCGTAGCATACAACGGCCGAAACGTTGTGATAAATATGGCGACAAAGATGAGGACAGTAGTCCGAATAATGTAAATAATAAACAACTGTATTGTTTATTTATGTATATACAAGGTAATATACACAGATTTGATATAGAAATAGACTATTTTTTATATCTTAATGTATTCTATAACTAAATGGGAAGTTTCTGTTTCTTTCCAAATATGCCCCTTTTTGAAACCTTCATAATTCCTTTTCTTACCAAGTTTATCACGTAAATGATCGTTTTAGCCGATTCATTCCCACCATATAATGCCTCCAAAATGATTTATTCTTGTTATTTTATACCCGACCAGTTTCTGATATGATCCTTTTAAAAGCTTCTGCCGCGTCATATGCAAGTCACTTGAGCCAAGATCATTTATCTGAACGCATTTCGGCGATACGCTATTCACCGACTACATCTCCCCTACCGGCATGCACCAGCGAGAGTATTTGACGTTCAAATACATTAATGTAACCAGTTATGTAATACAGTCACTTTCAATGGCATGTGAAGCGGCTCAAAAGGTAATGACATTCGTTCAAATATGTGAACCAAAGAATTTCCTCTTGAAAAAAAGTCGAAGTTTGTATATTTTTAGTTAAATAGATGAACTTAATTTGATACAAGAGCGGTAGTGTAAGGTATAAGGGAGCTTTCTGCCTATGAGACACAGGTTCGAATATAACCACAGTTGATTTGTCAGGAGAGAGAATTCCTCTTGTTATCGGTCTTGGAGGGGGCGATCCCAGCGTGCGGCACCTTTGGAAAGTGACTGAAAACCATACCACGGATTGACCCAAGTGAGTGAAATTGGATAGATGCGGCGGCCTGGTGATGAGTTCGTCTGTAAATTGGTGGCGCCAAACGCACCTACTTGTTGGAGAAATCGCCGAGGCGGTCAACGCAAGACGTGGCTCGCAACGGTCAAAGCAGATATGGAACTCATGTCCAGTCCTCGCATTTTCGGAGTCCGGCACTGGAATCGCGAATGGCTCGATCATGCTGTCGATTCTGCTGCTGATCGACGGGGGTGGATGGCCTTGACGCGCGATGTGGTTACTTCAATTGGATCCGGCTCAACCCACCCTGGGTGAATGCCGTTACAAGAACAAGAGAGAGATAGATGGAAACTTGAATAGGCCATCGGTAGCTGTGCTAGCACCAATTCATAAGTCATCGTGACCAAGGGTTTGAGTGTGCTAGTCTTGTTAAGATTGTTGAGGGCGCTAGATAACACGCTCTCTCCAAGAAACTGTAACTAATGTCTGCTCAGTATCGTTGCTTTATAAACAACAGGTGGTCTCCGTGGGTTTTGAACAAACACAAATGTGCCTGAGCGAGCCCTAGAATCCTAGAATACGAATTTAGTGCCAGATATAATTTAAAAATTGAACACGCTATGTTTCGCTGAGGTTTCAATGCAACAAGTTTTGAGCACACGAATATTTATGAAAGGGATTATAGTAGGAGTAAGCAAAACCCAATTTCTGATCTTTCATCTACAGAAATAATCAGACAGGTAGGCACTCAGACGAATTCCCTACACAATACTAGTAGTCAGCGAGATAAATAATTTCAAAACAAACCCTTTTTGTATGTACCGTGTTCTTTCAGAACGTTAGCATTCGTGCTTTTTTACAATTTCCTAATCAACTTTGCCCATTTACTATCACTTCTGCATGCCGTTCTGCCAATCATTTACATAAGCTTGTAATCTGGTTCGTTTGTTAATACCAAATGCACGTTTTTTCTTCAACATCTGCTGTGAGTGTCTGATTCTCCAAGACCACTTTCTTCATTACATGTCACTCATTTAAATAACAGTGTCGTTTTTGTTTCCATTTTCATAAAGAAAAAAAAACCTTCTTCATTACTCACATGTTCGCTGTTGGTATTCACAGAATCCTTAGATGAAACTACATTTCTGTTGCCTGAAGACTTTTCTTCATCTTTGTGGAAATTCTCCAACGTTTTCTAACATATAAGTGGATCGATATTACCTACCACTTCAGCACGCTTTTCTTTTTTCTTTATTATTTTTGTTCTTTTTCAAGTTTTTTTTTTTTTTTATATTATTTTAAATCAAGATGACCCAATGTCTATCGGTCTCGCAACATTATCTCAGAAACTGTTTTACAAGCGTGTAAAGGGACCGGTTTTTAATTGTAGACAACGAAGTGAAATTTTATTTTATTTTTCTCATTTTGTCATCGCATGAAAGGAAGTGTTTTTAATTAGCTTGGGCTTACGGTTGTATCACGTTTCAACATGCGTTCTCGTCAGATCACTGAAGTTAAGCAAGGTTGGATATGCGGCCGGTGTAATGGACAAAAGCTCGGAATTGGAAATCAGATAGTCATGGTCTAACTCCAGTCGTATTTCTTATATTCGCATCAGCGCAACTACCCTTGAGTATCCACCTCTTTTCTCCGCAGATATTAGTTAATTAGTAGAACTTGTATCTTATATCAACAAATCATTATCATCTCCTATGAATTCTTTAAAATTCTGAATCATGGACATATACATATATATATATATACATATATATATATATATATATATATATATATATATATATATATATATATATTTTCAGATGACTCTAACGCAAGTTGTTGGTCTGGCTAAATAATCTGTGTTGACTACTTCATTTCCGAGCGTCCAGAGGGGTTTTCCTTTAGGTGTTTTTCTTATTTTCCTTTCGAATATTTCGCGTGTTTAATGATAGTTAGATCTTAGGATAATTTGTCCGTTAGCTACAAAAACGGCTTTGTTTTTTCTTTTATATATATACATACATACATATATATATATATATATATATATATATATATATATATATATATAGACACACCTGAGTGTACCAGCAGAATTGCCCATTTTTTAAAAAATTAAGCTCGAAACTAATAAAGATATCTTACTGGAATTCTCCGAGGTTTTTTAAACACTACTGGGCTCTACTTTGAACCATAAGAATGCATTCAGCTCTGAGTTGAAAAGATGATCACTCTTTCTGTTTTCGCCTCATAACCCATTTTACCTCTCTACTGTTTCGTGTTATTTTAAAAATTATTCACTGTTTTCTTGATGGTTCTTGAATGGACTTTGAAGATGGAAACTAGAGTATGAATGTTCTTACCATTATTCAAGGACTGATGGCATGTTTCCTCTCACCATTGCTCAATTGGGCAAATACAGTGTTGCTGACATAACACGATATTAGCCTGTTCTCTTCTAGCTGAATATCTCAAAGATATCTTGCCAAGATGGCTAAATGTTTTATCTGAAAACCTGGAAAAAAGAAACTCAGTTAATTAATGATTTTTTTATTATACCCAGCATATATATATATATATATATATATATATATATATATATATATATATATATATATATATATATATATATATAATAGACTCTCTCCCGTCGGTTTCGACGTATGACGATCTGACAGCTTATTGATTCAGTTATGAACGTTTGTGCGATAATCTTAAGTAGCATTTATGACCCGCGAGTGATATACAAATGAGGCCACATATGGAGCAAGTGTGAGGATTGTGAGATGAGATCATTGTTATATTGGCTGACCTTTTAGATCTTGCTCTCGCTTCTTGAAGATGATTCAGACAAGCAGATGGAAAATTGCTGAGTCCACTAAAACACGTTGATCTCCATTCTATCCGCTCCAAGTCTAAGCGCTCAAGGGTGTTATGTGGTATATTGACTGCTGACAAATTGCTTTTTAGCTTGTCTTTGTATCTTAGCCATGGCCGTCCTACATTCCTGTAGCCCGGATCTAACTGTCTGTACATTAGGATCTTGGGTATCCTGTCATCAGGCATTCTCATGACATGACCAGTCCACCGTAACTGAGACTGTATGATAAAAGTCTCGATTCCTGCAATATTACACCTGTTAAACAGGTCTACGTTAGATGTCCTATCTTGAAGCTTAACTCCATAGATTGCACGCAGACAGCTTTTATGGAAAACAATGCATCGGATTGCTACGGCTACCAGTGCTTTCGACAAACTTCGTCATCGCTTGTGGAATGAGCGGGCTATTCGACTGGATACGAAAATTCGGTTTTACAGAGCTGTTGTACTTGCTATCCTTTTTGTATGTCTCAGAGTCATGGACTCTATACAGGTACCATATATATATATATATATATATATATATATATATATATATATATATAATTTGCTTCCTTAAGTCTATTTCACCATATCGATAGTGCATTCAGTAATGACCAAACTGATATTTTGAAGACATTCAGATTCTGTAATATCTTAATTATTATTCGAATCCAAGTTCCATTGCTTGAATAGAGACACATATGGCTACATCTACTTTGTACCAGGTAAGATAGTGATATACTTGTGTATTTTGACTCTAGAGATGGATGTTGAACACCCAAGTAAAAGCCAGATTTTCGACTGCTGATTTTTAACAGACTACTCCCACAAAGATAACGACGCAAAACAATATTTCTAATCTTACACTATTTTTCTACTTGCCAATTGAGTTAAACTTCGCAAATATCTTTTAGTGCGTACACCCAAACTCCCACTATATGAAACGAAACATGTTTATTCGAAATGCTGCTTCGAACGCATACGTTTCTTGAATCAACAAAGAGATTATTTTAGTCCTCAAAGTTGAAGGGTTTAATATCCTTTTTAATTTTGTCTAATTACTCTTGCTGTGAAAATCTCTATGTATATTATGTCTAATGAATGTCACTTATCTCCAGTTATCGTTTTTTCTCCAAATAAGTAGACACCTATAACCTAGATAATTTTTTCGTCTTGTATTCATCTATGCACAGATCCACAAAGGAAATCTTAAAGCTACCGAGAAAGAGAGGTGTAAGACGAAAAGATTTATCATTTGTAATTAATATGATCAGCTTAAACTAATTGTAAATTTCGTGGGAAATTAGTTTCCTAAATAAGGTAATCCATATATATATATATATATATATGGTTGGATTGATGTGAGTTTGTGACCCTGGGTTTCACGCTTTCGCGAGCGTCAGAAGCTCACATCAATCCAACCAAATATGTTAGCTCTATCGCTGATATTGAGCGCTTTCTAATAAATACCACGCATATAATATATAAATAATTATCTCCCTCTCCCTCTCTCTTCTCTCTTTATATATATATATATATATATATATATATATATATATATATATATATATATATATATATGAAATGTCCTTTCAATAACTATGGAATATGAAACATTATGTTTAAGATATGCTATCATCTATAAAACATGTGAATGTAAATATAGGCTTGAATAGTTGCCTGAATTGATGGTAGGTAATGCTGATAATAACCACTTAGAAGATATATATATATATATATATATATATATATATATATATATATATATCCCTGAATAGCAAAATATACGTTGAATATATATATATATAAATATATATATATATATATATATATATATATTACAGATCGATATCCAAATGCATGTAATCTTTTAACAGACGATATATGCTAGCTGTTCGATAGCTGAACTACTGCTTACGTAACATATGCACTTCCCTAGTTTATATATATATATATATATATATATATATATATATATATATATATATATATATATGCAGAGAGAGAGAGAGTGAGAGAGATATTAATTAATAGAATAGCATTTCTCAGGTGATATCTTTTTCCAATTATTGTTGTAATTTAATAATGCGATTAGATGGTTTCGTATTTTTATTTTATCGACTTCGTAAATATATTATTCCAGCCGTTCGTCACAATAATAACGAGGACACTTGTCTCTTGGTATCGCCAGTGCAAGGGAGATAGCTCTTGTAGTGGAGGATTTAAAAAATGGATGTAATATACGCAGCGAGATATATATATATATATATATATATATATATATATATATATATATATATATATATATATATATATACCTTGAGTAATGCTTTTTCACATATTTTACAACAGTACGTCAG